GCGTTGTCCACCTGGCTACTTTCACGATGACAAATTACAAAAATAGTCGTTAACAAGAAAGATAGCTAAAGTTGAGTGCCTATACTCGCTATACCGCCTATCTTAAGGCAATGCTTTTGTACATTAGGGCAGTTCGACTGCCCTTGTATGAAAATTTTAAGGTCCTACTCAACAGTTTACTATTCGCTTTCCTGCACTGCCCTACTTGATGAATTTGTTGTGCAAAGAATGCATTTTAGGCTCTACGCATTGCATTTAAAGTACACCACTGTACCTGACATTATGTGTCGTATTAGTAATTTTTACGGAAACAGAACAATGCGCAAAGCATAAGCCCTAAAGGACATTTTTTATTTTCGAACGCTTTATTGCACATCAAAATCTACAATATTAAACTGTAATTGATTTTATACCCTGATTTTACACCCTTGCAGAGGTATTATAATTTCAGTCACAAGTTTGCAACGCAGTGAAGAAAACATTTCCGACCCTATAAGGTATTTATATTCTTGATCAGCAACACCAGGAGAGTCGATCTAGCCATGTCCGGCTGTTCGTCCATCCGTCTGTCCTTCCGTCCGTTTCTACGCAAATTTTTCCGTCAGTTTTAAAGCTGCTTGAAACTATTGCAGGTAGTATATAAGTCGGAACGAGCCGGAGCGGGCGACTATATCGCTATATAATTGTCCCATAGAAACAATAGGAAAAAAAATTTTTTTTAATTTTAACTTTGTTGTTTATGGTAATATTTAAATACTATGGTTTATATTACGGTTTTAATTAAATTAAAAGCAGACATCTACATCATACATATAGCTCCCATAGAAAAATCGAAAAATTAAAAAAATATAAATTAAAAAAAATGTGTTTTGCGGTTTTTTATTTATCAAAATATTCCTTTGAGATATAGTTATTACTTACTATTTCAGAATTACGCTTTTAGTTTTGTCAAAATCGGACAATAGAAACTATAGCAAAGTGCCTCACAAATTCGTCATAGCTTTATTGTTTTTAGTAATATAGGCATAGAAATCGAAATGTAGTCGTTTTATAATAACTGCAAGGGTATAAAAACTTCGACTTGCCAAAGTTTGCTTCCTTTCTTGTTTTTAAAAGAAACATAAAACATAAAACCTTTATTGCTGGCAGCCAACATTTTTTATTTAAACTGATTAATTTTTTTATAAATTAATTATGATGAGTAATTTTCCTGACATTATTTTTGTATGTTTCGACAAAGCAATGCATATTTCGATGAAAATTAGCTAACTAGAAAATAAAGCTTAAAAACCATTTTACATATTTGAACTTGATAAATACACTTAGGGCACGCAAAGATTTGTTAATAACAGAAATTAATTTTGTAATTTAAACATAACTCCATTTTCATTATTTAAATATAAAGTTTAAAATAAAAAGTGTATATATGTATGTACATATTTAGCTTTTTAATCTATTTAAAACGATAAATACAAAATAAACTTCTAACCAATATAAGAAGATACATTTTTGTGGGAATCGTTGGACTCTCTTCGCCATTTGTGCTTCTTTAAAATAAGCAGATGCTTATTGTTCATGTCGTTTTCCTTTCCCACGCATATGTTTTGATATCTTTCCCCAAAGTGCGTGGGCAGTGCAGTAGTAGCGCAGCCGCAGCGTTGGATGACTATCGACAGTCTGACTGCTTCATACTTAATGTATGTATGTGTATGTGTTGTTATATAACCTCATTATTTCTTTGGAACTACCATTTCGCTTTAATTAAAATCAGTTGTTTGCCTTTCTGAATCTTACAAGACTGTACTATATCGGAATAATCCTTTTATGAAGTTAAGAATTTGTTCTGAAAATAATGATAGTTTGGTTTTTTAGTCAAACAAATGCAACTCTTAATGAGGTATAAAAAGATTTTACATTCGACTAAATATATACTACATTTTCTATTGCAGAGGTCCCGATAAGAAAAGCAAAAAGTGTAATATTTGAAATCGGACAATTTTAGTGAATGCGGTTCAAAGATGTAAAAAAGTGCACAAAAAACATTCATCCAAAATTTCAAAAAAAAATTGTGGATTTATTTTTATGTGCTTCGCATTGGGTCTCGAGAAGTTAATTTATAGATTCAATTTAAAATCTATACCAATTTTTGAATAATATATAATTTGTTTGCCAAAAAACAATTAGAAATAATATTAAAACACAGATTAAAATTAATTTGGAACGCAAAATAATAAAGCGAGTGTTGTTATTGTAAGTTACATTTTTATTGCTTGGCTACAACATAGGTCAGGGTGCGCCCGTAAGTATGCAGAGAATTTCGTTTGCTGCTTCGCGTTTTTCAGCCACTCGTGCGTATACACAATGTGCTTTTTATTCGTAAATGTGCGGCAAAGGGGAAAGGCGTTGGGAGGAGCCGCACACTTACACACACCAGCGAACAAACAAACATTGAAACATTCAAACATTTTGTGTCAATCTGTCAGTCACTCAGGTCCTTCACTCTGTTTTTTAACGCTTTGAAAGGTTGCCAGCTCCGCTGCCGATACAAAAGAATCGATACAGGCTAACGGTCGCGAGACTTTTATTCTTTATAGTAGTATGTTTATTATAAACATGTACCTTTATGCATAGAGAAAAATATTTATATTTCCTATTATTGTCATCATTTAAAAGTTAAGGGGTCCAATTAATTTTCCATTAAACCAATTTGGTGTATATTCGTAAAAACATTGTATATCATCTGAATAGGATATCACTGTGAACCAATACTGCCAGGATGCAACACTTAAAAAACTGCACAAATTAGTAAGAAATCGGGAAATATTAAAATAAAAAGAACAACAACTTGACAAAGTTATATTCCAATGACATTTTTTTTAGTTTCTATTTTCATTCTTAGTTTTATTTAAATAAATACATAATACAATTTAATACAATATTTAAATATGCGCACTATTAGCTATTCTCTTGCATTCTGACAAAAGCGGAGGCCATCCAAATCCGTTTCTTTTTAAAGTGAAAATCAGATTCCCTAAATAAAATGTGATTGTCTCTGAAAGGATTTAAGATTTTGTCGTATAGCCCCTCCCTAGAATTCTTCCTCGTGGCGATAAGTTCTGGTTATCAATGGTCACATAGGAAACACAATACAAAAAGGATACAATGAATATAAGGATGTGTCTCTACTCAACAAAAGAAAACCGTCAAAGGGGAGCGTTACGAACAGACATAATCACATGTGTATGTACGTAAATGCTAAGCGAAGAGTGAGTGCGGTGTTAACGCGTTAAACGTGAATCAATAAACGCACAGAACGGATATTATGTACACCTGTTAGATACAATTGATGAAAATTAAACGAAATTAAATTGTATGTTATTTCCGCGTAAGGCAATAATAACGTTTTCATTGAACATACACCCTACCATGAAGACTGTAAAGGATTCGGAGTAAATTAATTTTTTGATTGTATATATTTTTAAATATATTTTTAAAGGAGGATTATTTAAAAAAATGCCTGTTAAAAACGTTTTCCGTTCTTTAATAAGAAAAACAAAATGCTGAGAACAGATTTGATTATCAATTATTTTTAGAGGTAAAGGATATTCTTTTTATTTAAAGTAAGAGATACGAGAAAGTATTTTCGACACCAAGCTTGTTTACTCACGATAAGCTAAGATTGGGCTTTAAGCTGCCAAACTTTATACTTTCTCTCAGCTTAAATTAGAAGGAAACGGTATTTAAATTATATACTTACTCATCCAGATAAAGTGTCCTATTGATATAAACACAGCTATTTGTCTGCCCATAAGGAAATCGAACAAATAGTAAAGATTTAAAGGATCTTTGTAGATAGAGCAATGTTTGCGAAAACAATTGTTAAAACTTAACTTATATATACATAGTTAAAATCGGAGTTAAACCGATTGAGTGCTACATTCCGTAACATAAGTACGTTTCGAGGGTCGTGAAACGTAAACTCTTATATTAATGAAACAAAATCAATATTTTTAGCAAGAAGGGGGATCTTTCAATAATTTCCAGTGACGGCAACATCGCTCAGCAGAGGAAAACCCCTAGTATCCTTGTTTCTATTTCTTATTTGTGAAAAAATGGTTACAAGGACAACCCGATTATGAGAATCTATAAATGACTGTGTGGGCTGGGTTGGGTCTGCTAACATGTTGACCTTACTGGGCTCGCAATCAGTTCGGGTTACGGGGATGCGAAGAACGACGAGGAGGATAAGGATATGGCCAGGAGGATGAGCAGACAAAGCGTTGACAATGTCCTAAACAAAAGAAACAGAAAACAGACGAGCAGATAATGGACGTGATGATATTGGGAGGGGAGAGCGGGGGAGCCGCGAGCAATGGTAAAATGTATTTACATAGCTTGCATGGTCGGGATAAGCTCCATTGTTTTATGGATGCAAACAAAAACAATCCAAGGGACTGGGGAGACACATTCACGGAATACGAGTGACGCTTTACGGTTGCATCTGCACGGATAGTTACCAAAGCTCCGAGCTAAAGTGCTCGTATAAGGTCGTGGGTGACCTTTTTTAAATGAGAGTTCAAAGATATCCGCTAATCTCGCACATTAAACGCCGTATAAAAGTTTTAACAACGCGTGTTGTAACAAAATTACCAAACTTTGGGTGGGTCACATCCCTGCTACTGAAATCTCTTTTAACCGAATTTTACTAGTAACGGGTATAAATAAATTGTTGGTTTGGTGTTTTTTTGAGCACATCAAAAAATTCAATTTTTGCTTAATTAAGTGATTTGAAGTTATATTCTCCAAATCGTGATTTCTTAAATACTACATCGTAGAATCGAAAACCAAAAATTTTGCTAGCCAATGCATCTCATTTATATTAACAAAATAAGACTCACTTCACAAAGTATAAAAACAGGCGATACCCGTTCCTAATCATATTAGTGATTCGACTTACCTATATGCATTGTAAACATCCACCCAAATACCAAAACGGATGATTTCGAATTTCCCTGATAGAATTTAAATAAATTTAATTTGTTGTTTTGCTTTGTGGGTCTAAAAAATGAACTCGCTTCACATAAAAATTGAACTAAATTATAAGTTACAGAACTAATAGTGGTACAGAACTAGAGCAGTGTCTTATCACCACTACAGCTCTGAGTGGGCGTACTCCTCGTGCGTGGAGCTCTTTTCTTTGGGCACGATAAACAGGCCCTCTGCCGTGGTCCAGCGCGTTCCGTGCTGCGGTTTGTGCACGCCCACTATCTCCATTTGTCCGGAGATGGGTCTGCCGTAAGAGCGGCCGGACATTCCGAGGTACATGCCGGTGTCGATGTGGCGCAGTCGCACATGGGCACTCCGCATCCAGCTGTCATTGGAGCACACTACTTCCCAGTGGTCACCGGTGTCGCCAAGTCCATCTGTTCCGTAGGCGGACACCTCCTGCTCGCCGGAGAGCGGCGATGAGAAGTGGTGCGAGTGCAGGTTCTTCTTGGTAGACAGGTGCTCCAGGCGTATGGTGGATCCGCAGGCGATGGGCTCGCCCCGTTCGCACAGCTCTCCGCTCTGGGCCTTGACCACCCAGTGGCTGTTCACATCCTCCTTCTGCTCCACGCCTGTTACTGACTGCTGTCCGGATCCGGATCCGTACTTCACATCATGAGAGTGCAGGCGGAAGGAGTAGTCTGAGTTCAGGAGCTTCAGGATGGAGCCGCAGGTAACCACGTTGGATTCCGTGGCTGTTTTAGGAGGAGAGAAGATGGTGTACAAAGATAAACATTAAAGCTGGGCGACTCAGTATTAGCAAGAAAGGTTCGAAAAGCGCGGCGTGGCCAATCACAGAAGACCACATAGACGCGACTTTCCTCGGGGTCGAAACTTACCGGCACCACTGGAAAGGCTGCTGACCAGAGCCAATCCGGCGAGCAGTAGTCCGTGCTGCATTGCGTCCTTCCCGAGTTATCTTATCTTATCCTGAGTACTTAAGTTAGCCAACCTGTGCCGGCAATTACGATTTAACTCCTCGATGAACACGCAAACAATTGGATTTTGTGACAGCTCAGGGATTTTATGCCGGTGTGACCAAGCGCTTAGTAATTCGCATAGCCAGTTTCCCCAATATATATATTAAAAATACTCAAGCAAAAAAAGTTTTTGGTATTTTTAATCACTGATTTTGGTAAAGATTTTGATAATGTGGGGTATTCCCCCGATTAAATGAATTGATGGTATAATTATAAAAATTCATAGGTTACTTATAGTTTTAAATAGGAACAAGCGACGAAAAATATTATTAAATATGTAAACAAGGTCCTACAAATTAAAAAAAAATCAGTAACGTTGACATTATAAATCGAACCGGAAAACCGTTTTCTCAAACGCTGAAAATTTTTGTGGAACTTTCATGATTGATGGATTCAATCGTTTGGGAAATATCCTAATAACCCTGTTTGTTAGCTTAAAAATGTTTCCTTTACGAATACTTGAAAATAACTAGTTCCGGGAACAATATGTCGTTAGTATTTTTCTCGCGACTGTCAAATGCGGTTACACTGCAAATTTGCAAGCAATTTTCTCCCAACAAAAGGCTAGAAAAGTAAGAAAAATTGAAATCAAAGAAAAATTAATGGCCCACAAGCGTCTGTTCGTCTACGCTGTGCTATTGGCGATATGTTATTTAGTTGGCGTGACATGGGTGAGTCCCCTAATTAGCCAGATCACATGACTGGTCCAGTAATCAAAGTGTTATTCCGTCCCAAAAAAAAAACAACAAGGCTGAGACTGCAGCGCAAACATTGCCAGTGAATGGCAGCAGCACCAACAATGGCAGCCAGCTGAGCGCTCCACCTGTAATTCCAGTGGCAGGGGCACCACCTTCCAAGCAAACGGGCGCCAGTCCAGGTCCCACTGCAGCGCCACCATCCAAGGTCATCGCCAAGTCCCCGCTTTCTGCTCCCGGCCAGATTGCTTCTAATTCCAGCAGCACTACTGCGCCATCTACAGAGTGGTAAGTGATAATACACCAGCGGCCAATACAATAGTATCTGAACTTTAAAAGTCTGAATTTAATTTAGGCGAACTCAGTCAAATCTTATAAACAGCATGTTTGTTTACTAACATTGTAATTAAAGCAATGCTGGGGATAATAGCACTGTCAAACACTTTAGTTTTAAACAGTTTCCCTCAAGAGTGGGAACCTTATGGACTACTTAAAAAGTTTATCCAAAAAATAAGACTAATTAATAAAAATAATTTAAAAATAATTAATAGTCAATATAATTTCTTCATAATTCCGAAATTTTTTAGGTAAACTATAACCAATGCCTGATAAATTTTTGTTACAGCTTGAATTGGTTTTGAAAATGCACAGATTTAATCTTAATGACTTTAAAAAATATGCTGGACGACTATATTTTTTATTTATTTCCGTAATCGATTCTTGCACATTACAATTGCAGTGTCTGTGCCGGTGCTCTGCTGCCACATTTGGATTCCAATGGCAAGGAGCTGCCCATTTGCGCCGAGTGCAAGTGCTCGCATGTGGCGAGAAATACGACACTGATCAAGGTTGGCACAAATTAATGGACCCCAGCTTTCCTTTCTAAACCCATTAATTCTATTTCTAGGTCGTGGTCATCATTGTGATTTGGATCATCTCCATTTTAGTGATATACATGCTCTTCCTGATGTGCCTGGATCCGTTGCTGAACAAGCGAGTTAAGGCGAACTACCAGGAGCACACAAACGAAGATGTACATAACAAGCATTCTAGATACAAGGGCATTCAGTATAGCCTCCTAGTTACAGCCCATGGCGAAGATAATGAAGATGACGATGTTGACGCCGATGCGGCTCAACTAGTTGGCAATAAAGAAGCACCACACTTTTGAATAGATTTTAATTTCCACAACCCCCTTTGTTTCATTTTCCGTTTGCGATTTTGATTGAGTTTTTAACCCACACCACCAGTCCATAGAGACACTCACCACTAACCAAAGACCCACGTTTTGAACCAGAACCTTTTCACGTCAGCCCGACTAATTCAAAATTTCTCCCCCCTTTTCCTACCAGGATGAGCCGACGCCGCCTTTGCCCGCCGTGAACAACCAGGAGCTCAGTGCCAGGGCAAATGTCCTCAATCGCGTGGGCCACCAGCAAGACAAGTGGAAGCGGCAGGTGCGCGAGCAGAGACGCCACATCTACGACAGGCACACCATGCTGAACTAAGAAGGGGCGATTTGCAGGTGGAGGAGATAAAGGAGCATGGGCGACTTAAGACACGTATTCCAAGCAGTAATCCTCTACAGAATTCCACTTTTGGATCAAATTACATGTATATTTAGCAACAATTATTATTTTAATTAAATTATATAACCAAAATACGCTTGGAAGAAGACTGTTTTTTGTTAATCAGAAAGGCAAATTTAAGGGAAAAGAACCTTACCGAATCGACATGCAATTATTCAAAGACTTAGTATATATATTATTGGTCAACATCGCCAGGCGAGTCGATCTAGCCATTTTCATCGTCTGTCCGTTTCTACACAAACTATATAAGTTTTAAAGTTATTTTGATGAAACTTTGCAAAAAGTATGTCTTCTATTGCAGGTGGTATGTAAGTCGGAACGGGCCGGATCGGCATACTATATTATATAGCTCCCATGTGAACAATAGGGAAAACAAGGTAAACCAAATTATAATTTTGTTATATCTGAATATGTATCCATATACCTCGAGATATATTCATTTCTAACGATTTTAAAATGACGTTTTTAATTTTATAAAAATCAACGTCTATATCATATAGCTGCCATAGGAACGATCGTAAAATGCTTTATTGTAACAGCTGCACGGATTTATAAAGTTTTGATTTATTATTATTATTTAATAAATAAAAGTCAGTATTTTATTAGCCACATTTATTTTTAATAAATCATGTAACCATATTTTCCTTGGAGAAGTGATTTTAATGCATACAAAAACCGCCGAGCTAGACCTAAACTACATTCATTCAGGATGGGAAATTCTAATATCCCTTGATGGTTTCGGCAAACGTCCAGTTCTCGTTAACCTGGAAAGGTCCCTCCACGCCGCATCCGTTGGCGCTGCACACGCCCACTGTGTATTGGGAAATGTTACGGGTATCGCGATAGTATAGAACTTCCATGCACGTGCGGATCTAAGAAAAAGAAGAAACCATGTAAGATGAAGCAAGGTATTGTTCCGGAATAGGTCTTACAGTTAATTAGTTAAATAAATAATTTATAAAAAAGTCTCGTCGAACAATTTTGATGTACTTAATAAAAATATGGTATATTTCTAGCCAAATATAAAGTTTGCAATATTATGGTTAAACTTGTTTTTCATAATATTAGGTTTCTAGCGTAGGTATCGCATATGTTCAACACAATTAAAAATAAATGTAAGCTTCATTCATTTTTGGTTTTAAAAAAATAAATATTTATATTTATATATTTATATGTATTTATTTAAAATTATCAAAATTGACTGAATGATCATGGTAAGAATTTGTCAAATCATTGCGGAGTTGCAAAGATTTTTTAAATAGTGATGTAATTGCATTTTTAATTTGCTAATACAATTGAGCACAAAATAAACATATATTAATTAATAAAAAAAAAGCTTAATTTTCTTTGAACAGTTTTACCCCATTTATCGGGTATATAAGGCCACAAAGGTAACAAGATACGTACCAGTTCTGAAGCCTCTACGGCGGTAAAGTCCCTGTCCTTGGGCTTCTTCTCACGCACCAGCGGAATGGCCAGATGACGGGCAAAGCCGGTGGCGATCACGTAGTCCTCGTGGGAGCGACCGCGGAGATCCACATTGGCCAGGTACGGAGTTCCTTCTGTGTCTACGCCACCCACAACCACGTCGATATAGAGGGGATTCATGCGGGAGCGCCGGTTGTAGAGCACTCGGGTCATCCAGCTAGCCAGCGACTTGGGCTTCATCTCGATGTTGTCGTCGCAGCACTGGTCCTCGATCATCTTCTGGTCGATGCTGCGCTTGATGGACTGGATGTCGGCGAAGTCCCCGCTGCCTCCGAGCAGGATGTTCTTGTTGATCTTGAAGACACGCTCAATGTTCTGGTAGCGGGCCAAGGATCCGTAGGAAACCAGGGTATCGGCAGCGAGCATCACGCCACCGTCGTAGCGAATGCCCAAAACGGAGGAGCCCGTGGTAATGGCAGCTCTGCGGATTTGGTAAAGGTTAACAAGAGTAGTAAAACAGGATTATATTCCCTATTCATACGTGCTGTGCTTGGTTCCATAGGGTCCCGCTGTGGTCAGTTCACGGGGTAGCTTCTGGATATGAGTCTGTCCGCCCGTAAAGTTGTAGAACTCGCCGGGAACAGGTCCATTCTGCCAAAGGGGCTGTGCCAGGCAATTGTAGTTGTTATACATTGTAATTTACTCGGTTTAGTGACTGATTTAAGGCAAAACGATGACTTGTTTGTCGCTACCGGAGAATGACGGGCACAAATAAAATCCTAAAGCTCAGTGTGGACAGACTTTAAGCACCTGAAAATACCACTGCCCATAGAAAGTAACTTAAAATACCAAATCTTCCGAGCATTTACATCTTATATGATTAGGTCACACCATTTTTCAAATTTTCAGTTACTTGTACTAAAAGAAAAGAAATTGACCGTTGCAAAGTGCATTTTTTAAATTAATGTTATTTTTCTGACGATATACGGACTTACAATTTTCCTACTAGTTATCAATTATCAAGTTATTAAATTATTTAGTTAATACTTGCGATTAAAAAAAATCTTCTACGGTTTTAAACACAAAACTACCTATTTTTTAACATTTTTAAGCAAATTAAAATAGGCAAAATAATAAATAATAAATAAAAGAATAATGAGTATAGGTATAATAATAGTGTTGTTCTTGTTTTTTTGTATTAATCCATTTTAAAAGTGGTTCTCGAGAAGGAGATGGACCAGAGACTTCGGAGTAAAAAAGAAAATCGCAACTTGAATACATCTAGACACATTTTTTATTGCCAGTATACCAGTACACAATATGTAAATATATATAGGTATGTGAATAATGCATGCCTTCCGAGGGGAATGTTTCGGTTTGCTTTCGCATCTTTCAGATGCCATAATACAGTCGATAATATCAGTAGCTTTTTTTGAGCTATGCTAAAAACAATGACGGGAGACCCGTTCTTTAACATGTTACGAATACGAATAAGGATGCCCTAAGCAAAATTACGAGCTAATTGTCACGGCCAATGATTGATGCTAATTCTATGTGGTTAAAGCTTCTAGTCCTTGCAGCAACAGAAGACATTGTCGCTGGAGCTAGCTGGGGTTGTGGGCGTGGTGCCGAGCTTGGGGGGTTTGCTATAGGAATGAGGACCCCGCATGAACACCTCGATGAGCTGACAGTGGGATCTGAAAAAAAGTAGAGTAATTAATGTGTGATTCAAAAGAATTGAGTGTAAAAATATCTTACCTCATGGTTATGTCTAGGTCGGTTACTATCTCGCCGTCACAGTTCCAGCTAGAAAACTCTGTCGAGGAGGAGGTGTTCGCCATTTCTCCTTGCGGCGAGATCGGCTGGCAAGAGCCTGCAATGCTGTAGTCCTCCTCGCCAGCACCAGAAAAAGTTCTGAACCGAAATTCCCTGGTGCGATAGACCTCCACGAACGGCAGATTGCGCTGGAATCGGAAATTGTTTAGTACAAAAATTCAGTTGTATTAAAACCCTTAAACCCAAAATTAATATCGTTCCTAAGCATGTTATTATATAATTTCTATAACCGCTTTCCATTCATTGTGTTTATTTAATACTATATTTTTATGATTCAGTTTCCAAAAACATTTTAGAAAAGTTATGAATAAAAAATAAAGCAAATCATTTAAAAACAAACTTATGTCAAAAAGTTTTTTCTGATTTTGATTAAAGCTTTTGCAACTTTTAAAATAAATAAATTATATTAATTAGCTTGACAAAAGTAATAAATGGTCAGTTTAGGTACTCACAATATCACCACTCCTGCCAGCCGTATTTAGCAGGAAGCGCACATTGTTGATCAGCGAGGTCTTCTTCACCAGAATCAGATCCAGACAACCATCACCCAGGTGACTATAGCGGGAGATGCCATTGGGACTCCTGGCGCAGGCGCAGGTGATGTTAGCCCCGCAGATCATGAAAAAATTGCCCCGCACCACCTTCCACTGCTCGTTGCCGAGGTTCCTCATTGAGGATATGGACCCTGTAGGCAACTGGAGGTTCCCTGGACGAGGTCGAGGCCTCAGCAGAGCAGACTCGCTGGGATCCAGTTGGGAATTCTCTGGTTCCTCCGGCTGAATGCGCTCTGGCCCCCTGGATTCCTCCTGGATGAACAGGGAAGATCGCTGCTCCTGTATGCTGCTGGCGAAGCTGCAGCGCTGACAATTGGCATAGCAGACGGAGGGCACCGACTCGCCCAGCGAACACACGCTGTCCGGACTCTGCGGAATATCCTCCTGCGGCGTGGTCAGCAGTAGATCCGGCTCCTCCAGCATCCTCAACTCGGCGTCATAGCCCCGATTACTTAGGAAGGCCTTGACGCCACTGTACTCGTAGCGCCTCGGGCCCATCCAGCGGTAGTTCTCACTCTGGGCGGCCACATCGCCCAGGTAACCGTAGCTCAAGACACTGGCACAAAACCTGATCAGCGACTGTCCATTGCTGACACTGCTCACATCCAGGCCGCGATGCTGGCCCAGGATCACATGGATGGCTGCTGTCCTCACATCCGCCGTGCCATGCATACTATAGGCTATGGTGTCAGTGCTGCCAGCGGGGATTACGCCCACTGGCAGAGCCGGTCGTGGAATGTAGGGAGGTCGCTGCTCGTCCAATCCCAACTCCCTCATCTGCCGGAATATCAGTCCGTTGATCACCTCCGCCACGGTTCCATCGCCGCCGACGCAGCAAACCGCATCGTATACTCCCAGATCATGGCTCAACAATATGTCCTTTACTTGGTTTGCCCTTTGAGTGGTGATGCAGGTGGCATCCACGCCAGCGAGTTGGAAAATGGGCTTCACATGGCGTTCGTAGGTCTGAGATCCCGCCTTGCGACCTCCGTATGGGTTGATAAAAACCAACAGACGGCGCACTCGCATCCTGGCAGGCGAGGAGCTCTGCAGTCGGATTTGCAGCTCGTGCTCCCACTGCCTCACTATGTAGGGATCTGAGTTGAAGAAGGTGAGCCTCCTTAGTTCCCAGCGATTGCAATCCGTTTTGGATTTGCTCAATCTCATGGCATAGTTAATGGTGAGGTACTGACTGGTGGGCTTCCCTGCCGCAACATCACCACTGCTTCTGGAACTGCGTTCCGAGCTTGGGGGTGATGGTGGCT